GAAACTCCTTGTAAGAATTGTAAGTAAATAACAAGTGTCGACCTCGTACGAGAGGCCGGTTCCGTGATCGCCAAATAAAACCGTAATTAGACCAAATCTTCTTTTCGCTCCCAGTCTTTTGCTTTCGACATTTATCACTTTAACCGTTGACCGAAAACGCTCGTCAACAAGTAAATCATTATTTTTTAGCGGGAAAACCACATTTGCTTTTCATAAATTAACTTATTGATAATTCGTGACACCTACAATGATACAAGTAGGAAAATAATATCAAACTAGTACAACACCCATGTATTACACGGGTGCTTGTTAAAAAATTATTCTTAAATTTATTTTACTTTTTTTTTTAAATTAATGAGAAAAAAACTATATTAAATTTAGTTTACTTTCTTAAAAAAAATATATTACTATATATTTTAGAATGATATGTGTTACTTATGACTTACATGTATTATATTATATTAGTTTTTATAACTTATATCATATAACTACTTGAAATATAAATATATTAGTTGATAAATAATTTTATTTTTCTAATTAATATTAAAAATAATTTTATTATTGTTATAAAGATAAATATAAATTATTTTTTTATACATACAATATGGATGTTAAATCGAAACTCATGAAAAGAATATTAATTTGATATATTACATATGTAAAACTGATAAAAAATACAAAAGTTATTAACTTTTAAAATACATATACAATTCAATAGTTATAATAAGTAATGATATTAAAATGCAATTAATGCATGTAACATTACCATAAATAATCAACATATTTATGGTAATTCGAACCTAATTATTTTTAGTTTGGATTTAAATTAAAATTTACTCAAGCCTAATAACCAAGCATGTAATTTTGTCACATAGGATTCCGCAACACCAGAAACAACCACGTAGGTTCAACGCGTTTTGGATTAATATATAGGGGAAGGGATAGGGGATATTAGAAATGTAAATATTTTCAAAGCATAAATTGATGCCCATTTAATCATTTTTGGGACAGGTCACCTAATTGTGCGTTTTGAAATTCAATTAAATACCAAGTATATTATTCTTCGTATGATGTTTGTTCGGACAGTGAGTGGGAGAAGATGAACCTTCTAGGGATGTTTGGATATAAAATATTTTGTTTTTATTTAAATTTTTTTGATTTGGTATGGTTAACTTTAAAAAAAGTGGTATAGTTAATTATAGTGTGGTTTTAAGTTTATAATAAAATAATATTGAAAATAAAATAATTGAAATTAATTTGATGTAAAAATAGAATAAATGTGAACGTGATGGTTAATTAAAATTATGTAAGGAGATGAATAGTGAATTAAAGTTGAAGAACCTGTCTTGGGAGGGGAACAACAACTGGAAACAGCTGCTAATACCTTTGACGTGAATAAGCTGAGGAGCAAAAATGTGAACGTGATGGTTAGTTAAAATTATGTAAGAAGATAAATAGTGAATTAAAGTTGATGTAATGTGCAAGAATAATTGTGCAGTATTATTTAATTATATAATAATATTTAGGATATTAGAGTTGAGTTATATTGAGTTATATCTGAATTAAAAAAAAAAAAAATTGATTGGTTAAAAATTATTGATTTTTATTTTTATTTGAAAAAAATAAGGAAATACATAATGTACATAACCATGCATACTTGCGGCAATTGATTATGTATATGTTACCTTTTATATATGAACTGTTATGAATTATTTGTTATAAAATAATATATGTGAATGACTATTTTGTCCTTGATGTAATTGTATTATTACGGTTGTGCCATCAGAAGTTTCCTATA